AAATTTAAAAAAAAAAAAAAAAAAAAGAAAAAAAAGAAATGATGGTATATAAAATATATTGGATAAAGGGACAAGCAGTTAGCGTAATGGCTATGTCGCTGGACTCCCACGTAGTCGACCGCAGTTTGAGTCCCGGACCCAGAAGCTTAAGCTCACGCCGGGCGTATGTGTGCATGCCCAAAATCCCGAGAGGAGAATGGAGAAGGGATCGTGGTGTGGCCATCCCCCTTGGGGGGTGATTTCTCACTTTCTGTCTCTCTGTCTCTGTCTCTCCAACAAGCACACATGCCCTATAGCAAACACCTCTCCAAAAAAAAAAAAAGGATTAAAATCACCTTCAGGTTGGGTTAGCCCAATGGCCTACTAGTTAAGGGAGTTGGATTCCATATGGCTGACTACAATTCAAATCCCAGTCCTAAAGGCCTGAAAAATGTGCTAGGTATAGGTGTGAAAGTGCCCCCAATCCCAAAAGGATGAAAAAGGGGCTGCAGCATGCCCATGCCCATGGAGGGGGGGACACTTTCTCCCTTTCCTTGTCTCTGGTGAGCACGGGTGCTCTTTGGCAATTAAAAACAATTCCCTTCAGATTCTGTGTAGAAGATATATATGAAACTTAATTGAATCTCATGATTAGATTTTGAGTTCCATCTCCAAGTCGTCTTACACATTTATCTTACGTTTTTACTTATTACTATTTTTGTTTAAAAAGGTTTTTGCCATAGGGCACATGTGCTTACCAGAGGGAGAGGGCAAGTGAGAAATCACCTCCCCTCCCATGGGAGGGTTGGCCATGCCACATCCTCTCCCTCCATCCTCCTCCTGGGATTCCAGGCATGCATGTACACATGCTTTGTGTGATTCTTAAGCCGCTGTGTCTGAGACTCAAACCAGAGTTGGCCATGCTGCAGAAGTCCAATATCATAACTACCATGCCACCTGCTGACCTCACTACCAAGTTTTCTGGATATGGGATCCTCAGCTAGAAAAAGCAGTGAGGACAGTTCCCTCTAATAAACAAGCCTCAAGGTAGGGCAGGACAAGGCTAATTTTTATTACAAGGAGCCCATAGGCCATGTACAGATATCACTTTAGTACAGTTTTTTTTTTTTTTAATGTTTATAAACAACTCAGAGTGGCTATATATCTTCAGTATACAGCCTTACTCAAGGTCATACCTGGAATTCAAATATTCTCTTGGCACCGCAGGGACAATCTGGAATATTATCTTCTTGAGGGATATTTTCACCAGAAATCCAGATGGGGGCAATCCCTCTGCCATATCTGAGAACCTAAAGACAGCATCATGTCTTTAAGATCATCCATACCTTACCTAATTTGATGGTACAGTGTCCCTGATGACCACTGAAATGTACACACTCCCACTGGACAGAGCCCTGACCTGAAATGCCTTCCCAACTTTCTTGGAGTGGGTATCTCAGCCTTTCTGACAGGCTATCAAAGCTGAGTTTCCTAGAAGCCTGTACACCCTCGTCCTGTGAATGCAGTGAAGGGGCCAAGATTCAGCCCATGCCTCCCCTCTGCCAGCTTCTACTTCCAAAATGCTGCCCAGAATCCAACATCACTTTCATATACATAGAAGAATTTCCCAACGACACATACCAAGGGAAACAGGGTGTTTGCACAACACTACACACACACACAAATAAATTACACTGTGGTAAATCTGCTGTAACAGCTGAGTGGCTTTCCTGTATTCTGTTAAAAGCATACACACTGCTAAAATCCACCCCCTTGGTATCTAGGAGTTAGATCTATTCTTTCTACAAACCTCTGGGTACCTATCTGATCAAATGGTTTATGAGAATTCGGCTGAATTTCTTTAGGAATTTACACTCAGCAAAGACAGTCGGAATGATAACATGTCATGTTGGTTTCACATGGAAAAGTGTCTGTGCCAGCACTGCCTAACACTCATCTCCCATCCCTGAAGTTTCCATTAGAGAAAACGAATCCCTCGTGAAGAATGGCACCACCTTGTCTTTTGACTACTATCGATTGGAGCTGCACTGCCAACCTGCCTTTCTATGTTGTCCATCTGTGTGAAGACATGTAACAAGATGACAAAAACCACCTTTACAGGCACCAAAGGAACAGCCAGCAGTATTAGGAGAGCTGCCGCGCAGGGGGCTATGCTCAATAAAACATGGTCTGGAAAGGTCACGATGTGGGGGGGGCGGGTACAAGTTTTTACTTTACCTGTTCTGGCTCGAGGGCTATCCGAGTTTTAAACTTCTGGAAAATTTTATCTTCCCTGGACTCTTGTTTTGCCATGGAATCCAGTTCCTTCTCTAGTGCTCCACCTGAAAAATATATTATGGCAAACAGGAGCAGTTTGGCACTGATACCTGCTGAGGGAACCCATTGTGAGCAGACAGCTCCCTATGCACCAACCTAGAGTTGCCTCCAGGTATACCACCCAGCATGCACAACAGACAGGCTCCCCATCAGGTTCCCCCAGACTAACAATAGCCAAATAAAGGCTTAAGACTGCCCAGCACATCACAGGACACCCAGCCAATATGAGGCCTCAGCACACCTCTCCTTTAGCAGTCTGAACTCTTCTTCAGGTCTCTTCCCAGCTCAGACACTCATTCACTCAGTAGTCAAATGTCCATTTCATTCTCAACATTCACTCCTAGAATTCTAGTCACTGTTCCCAAAAACCCAGTACACCCTTTAGTCTTTGCGACATGTATCAAAAAATAACTTTGATATCCTGAGTCAGAGAAGCTGAAACAACAGGTTTGATGAAACTGGGAAGATACTCTAGGCCTGATGGAGGAAACGCTAAATACCTTTAGATGAATGTTTACCAACTGTATGAGCAAAGTTTCAGTAAAACCTCTAGGGCACTATCACTTGCCAACCTCAGGGAGGATATAGTTCAATCCAGGGAGCACTTTTTCTTCTCTTTTTAAATTTCTGAACATATACAGAAATACAAATGCTGTAATGAATGTCCATGTACCATCAATCCTGTCTCTACCACCTCTCTCCCATCTTGAGTTAATCTGAAGTAAATTTCAGACATAGCACTTCACCTGTGAATAATTTAGTCATATACAAACTCTTGTCCTTTGCTAACCAATGTTTTAAATAATGAGTTTGTTCCCCTGGTATCCTTTTACAATGATAACTGAATTTTTTAAAAGTATCATTTTGAACCTATTAACATATTTGATGTGTTTTAATCCACTGCAGTAAATATGTCTGTGGATGTTCAAACTGTCCACTTTTGTCAACAGGAGCCTTTTCATGTTGGTTTTTGAATCCTGACATGATTCTAGTAATTTCTGAGAGCTTCTTTGATCTGTGGCACAAATATTTCCTACCTCAGTTCTAGAATCAAACACATCTCCAAAGAGCCTGGAGTATGAATTTTAGAAAGAAATTGTACTTAGACACCACTGTATAGGCATCAGGGCTTCCCAGTGCTCCCGAGTTGGTTATTGTTTCCAGCCTTTAGGGACATCCTGAGCTCACACTGATACTTTCAACATGCATTCAGATGGGGTTTCTAATCTTAAGCAAGCTACCTATCTTTCTCCTCCACCCAATACTTCAGTTCTCAGTAACACCAAAACAGTTACGTACTTGCTTTATTCCAACACACACACACACACCATCTCAAAATTACAACAGCAACATTACTAGCTATAACATGTTTATTGAAAACATTTGACATTTTCTTTCTGCTCTTTCCATTTTGGGAGGAATATTCCACTATAATATACTGTCAAATCGCTGTGTTATATAAAATAGTTCTTTGGTTATGCAGCAAATTCAGTATAGATCTATTTACTTTTAACTGTTAAATACTTAAGAATTATTTCATTTTATTTATTATTTTAAATTTGACAAGAGACAGATAAAAGGGAAAATGAAAAAAGCCACCAGGTCCAGGACTTGAACCATAGTCGGCCAGGTGGAATTTCAGAGCCTTAACCTTAACCACTACACCGGTTGCCCCCCCTCCCCCATCTAAATTACCAAAGGACACATGCACTTGCCAGAGACACAGAGGGAGAGTGAGAAAGTACCCCTCATGGGGCATGGTCACACCACAATCCCTTCCCCATTTCTCTATGCTATGTCAGGATGTGGGGCACACATGAACATGTACCCAGTTTATTTTTCAAGCTGCCAGGTCCAGGACTTAAAACACATGGTCAGCCATGTGAAATCCAGCCACCTGTTAACCACCAGGACAAGGGCTGGCCCAGGGCTGCTTTTGAAGACTATTTTATAACATGTAAAACATGGTTCCATAGTCACCTGTACATTTCAAGTCCTCCTACTCTATGCTTTCCTTTTCACTAAAAGCATTGTTATGATTTACCACTTTAACGTGGCAAAAAGCAATAATGTACCTATATAAAAGACAAACACATGGCTCTTCCAAGGCAGTTTTCAATGACATGTGTTCCCATGGCACTTGTGTTATTAGAGATCACACAGAATATAACTTTCCTGATGCTGTGGGCTCCTCCTTGAGACTGGGCACTTGGGCCCTGGGATATGGCTGCTTCCCATGCTATCCCCATAAGGAGGTGCACAAGCTCAGGCACAAAGCAGATGTGAAGTCTAGATGTATGACTTGTATGAGCTGCAGAGAGAATGCTGATGCTCTAATTTAGATTCGAGAAATCTACACTTGTGGTAATAGAGAGTTCAAGTACTAGAATCAGTAAACTCTAGGCTCAAACTCAAATGGTAAGACTTATACCCAGAACCTCAGTTTCCTCAGTTGCAAAATGGGGCATAGTTAATTTACTGGGCTGCTGTCAGGGCTCAAATGAGCTCATGTATTCTTAAGCCCTTGGTATGGAATAAAGGCTGGGTAAATGCTGGCCACCGTTATAGGTGCCAGGCTGGCATCTACACTACTCCAGAGTACAGACGCTAGGTAAGCTGACAAGATCATGTATGTGAAATAGATGAGATGATAGAGAAACAACTGCTGCCCACCAAATTCCGTGTTGGGCACTCTTACTGTCTCCATCTGAGAAACAGATTTGGGACCAAGAGGAACTCACCAAGTGTCCACTGTTTTTTTTGCACCTCCAATCAAATAACCATCTGGACACCTCTTCAGCCTTTATGGGGAGCAGAATGTAACCCGATTTATGCCAGGGAGGTATAGGGAAGGCATTTTCACTGGAGGCAATCTCTAATAAAAATCACAGGCTCCAGCTTCCACCTCAGGTCTTTGCCTCTCTTCTCTATTTGCCAAACTTTCATTTAAGCATTATGTTTAATAATTTAACGAAGTTCTGAAACTGACTCCTTACCCATGCTCTCTATAACCTCTGAGTCATCTTCCTTTCCTATGATTTCAGGCACAATCTCATCTTCTATTACAATTTCAAACTCTGGAAAAAGGAAGTTGTGGTCTGGAGCTGTATGGTCCAATTTATCTAAAACAAAAAAGTTGCTAGTATCACAAAGACTACTCAGTTAGCTTTGAAGCTGATCTAACAAGGTCATACTTCAGAAGTATATACAGTAATAGTTTTTCTAAATTATATAGTTCTGGCATTTTAGTTCATAGGTCATAAAAGCTTATATAAAGGCAAGACTGGTAACATAACTGATAAGACTGTTAGAGCTTTAAAGGTGTTCATGGTTATCAGTTATGAAAATTCCAAAAAGTACTACATCTCTGCTGTTTTTTTTTTTTTTCCCCCCATAAGGTACATGCACTTATTGAAGAGAGAGAGAGGAAGGAACAGTGAGAAATCACCCTCCAGGGAATGGCTATTTCTGAAGCTTCCAGGTCCAGGACTGGAACCTGTACAGTCAGCCATGTGGTGGGACCTAGGCTCCTTACCCATCAAACCACTGGCTGGCCCACTAGTTTTCCTGGAAATAAAATGTTTGCTTTGACAGAAGCTATGAAACTGAGCTAACTCACCTTGCTGCGAACAGGTCTGTTTATGTCCCAATCTCCAGTCTAGAGTCTGATGGTCCTTCCCACAATAATGTGCCCTGTGGCATCGGGAGCAGGTTTTGGGGCCTAAACAGCCACACACCCTGCAGAGATGAGCACCAGACTTCAGCTGGAGAGACACAGACTCTCTTGTTTCTGAGGGAGGATTCTCCGAAGGTGGCTCATATGAATAAAAGTCATTTTTCCTGGGTAGCTGGTTTCTAAAAACTAAGAATGCAGAGAAAAAGGTAAAATTTCCAGTAAAACAGCAGCAATTTCACATATGACACTCTAATCGGCATTAGACTGAAAAACTTATTTTGCAAAAAATTAAATTTCTGCTGTTAGAAGGTCTAGGATCTTGAAAGTAAGAATAGAAAATGAAAAAAAAAAAAAAAACCCTCGAGACTTTGGCAGTGTACACTTCATTGGGCTCTTGGAGCTAACTGGAGCTGAGGAAATCAATCAGAAGACAAGCTGCCAAAATGCAGAAATGCCGCTTGGGCCCACCTTTCTGCAAAGAGCGATAAAAAAAATGTTGCAGGGTGTGTTTGCATTTTCTGAGGAGAGACAGTGAAAAAGTATAAAAAGCATGGGGGGGGGGGTAGGCCACGCTCTAATCCATTCTCAAGCCAGGCATTCAAGCCACAGGTCCGGACACGAATCGCGCGGTAGGCACGCGGGATCCAGCGCCTTAACCACCACGCCACCTGCCTGCCCCAAGGAGCGATTTCTGTCTGCACGTGTCCACCCACTCGGAGCGCAGACTGGGTCCTGAGGCCGAAGCCAGTTCCGAGTCTGCCCTCCCCGGAACCCTGACTCCGCGCCGGAGGGCGGAAGCCCGGCTCGCGCACCTCGCAGGCCGGCGCAGCACGGCGGCTCGCGGCAGCAGAAGAGGAAGAGGCCGCGGT